TGAGTAATTCCAGGAATAATTCCTGAGTGCAGAGCCAGGAATAACCCCTGAGCGTCGCTGGGTGTGACTCAAAAAGTAGCACTATAGCACTGTAGCACTGTCCTCCCGTTGTTCATCGATTTGCTCGAGCAGGCACCAGTAACATCTCCATTGTGAGACTTGTTACTGTTTTTGGCATATCAAATATGCCATGGGGAGCTTGCCGGCTCTGCCGTGCAAGCGGATACTCTCGATAGCTTGCCGGGCTCTCCGAGAGGGATGGAGGACTCGAACCCGGGTTGACCGCATGCAAGGCAAACGCCCTACCCGATGTGCTTTTGTTCCAGACCCAAAAAGTGGGGAAAAAAAATCAAGGGCCAGAGAGACAAGGTCCAATAAGGTCTAGGTTAGGGTCCAGTAAGATCCTAGCCTGATCCCAGTTTGATCCCCAGTACTGCATCACCCAGCCAGGAGTGATCCCTGAGCACAGAGCCAGGAGTGGTGTCCAGGTGTGGTCCAGAAACTAAAGCCAATAAAAACAACAAAGAGGTTAAAAAAAAAAGTGATTACTGAGGAGATAAAGGGTTAGAGCTTGTTCTTTGCATATGGGAGGCCTAAGTTCCACCCCAATGCCATATTCTGAGTACCAGGAGCAATCTTTGAGTACCAAAAGAGAAGTACCCCAAGAGAGAGAGAGGAAAAAAAGAATTAAAGAGAAAGGCATAAGAATCAAGCTGTATTGATTTTAGTAATTACTTCTTGTTGCCAGATTATCATTGAACTTTGAATTATGATCAATGCAGGTGAGAAAATGAATTTTAAATTTTTATTAATCTGATATCATGACCATCCTGTTGTTCGTCGATTTCCTTGAGCAGGCCACAGTAACGTCTCCTTCGTCCTAGCCCTGAGATTTTTAAAAAGTGCCATATTCAAGGCTCTTTCAGACTTAGGAGAATGAGACCCATCACTGTTACTGGTATTTGGCATATTGGGTATACCACGGGGAGTTTGCCAGACTCTGCCGTGTGGGCAGGTTACATTCGTTAGCCTGCCAGGTTGTCCAAAGTAAGAATGAGATAAGATGTCTGCTGCGCTGCTCTCTTCCGGGAGCTGGGTTTTATAGTCTCTGGATCTTGGCCTCTTGGCCGTTGATGGGATTATACAGCGCCAGGGGGCCAGTTGGTGGGTGTGACCCCTGCCTACTGGAAGGTGGAGGATCTGGGTGGAGGATGCTCAGCCCCGATCCAAGCAGGCTTGGAGATCTCAGCCCCGGGACCCGCATGCCTTTGTTCCTCTGCCAGTACCTTCATGCGTGTGGAGAGTGGTCTTAGCATGGTTATGGCTGGTTCTGGAGGTCTTCGGCTGCCGGAGCTCTGGTCAGGAAGGGGAGGGAAACTCAACCCGCCCCCCTCCAAGGGGCCCCAGCGAGGACAGCTAGGCGCGGGGGCAGGAGACTCTTATATAGATTTTATTGATTTATGGTACTTAATTTTGTTGGGGCTTTTAACTTTTTGTTTATTTTTGAACACACCCAGTGATGCTCAGAGGTTACTCCTGACTCTGCCCTCAGAAATTACTTTTGGCGGACCCAGGGGTTATATGGGTTATCAGGGAACTGAAATTGGATCGGTTGTGTGCAAACTATTGCTCACCTCAGGAGGGATCTGCTCATTTTAGCCACTCAGAGACCCAAGAATTTACCCACTCCCTGGGAATCAACCCAAGGCCACACACATGAAAGAAATATGCTCTCTCACGGAACTATACATTTGGCCCCAAGAGCACACACTTTTGTGGTGGTGCTGGGGAAATCACAAATGGCTCTGCTGCTAGAAGACACTTATCAGAGGTTCCAGAAGGTATCTGTCCTTTCAGACCCCTTATGGAGGGTGCCAGAGTCTCTTCTGATTGGTCAGCTTCTAGGCACCCTGACCTTGCTCAAATCTTCTGATTGGTTACACTCAGAGTGCAGCTCACTCACTCACTTTAGTTCTCAAGTGATGGTGCCCAGGTGTTAAGCTTTCCATCTGTGTTTCTCTCTTTCTTTCTTTCTTTCTTTCTTTCTTCCTTCCTTCCTTCCTTCCTTCCTTCCTTCCTTCCTTTCTTTCTTTCTTTCTTTCTGTTTTTTGGGTCACACCCAGCGACCTAAAGGGGTTACTCCTGGCTCTGCACTCAGGAATTATTCCTGGCAGTGCTTGGGGGGCCGAATGAGAAGCTAGGGATCCAGCCTGGGTCAGCCTCGTGCAAGGCAAGTACCCTACCCGCTCCAGCTCCGGCTGGTTTTTAAGGGGTGTGTGTGAAGCGGTATCTCCCAGTTGATGTTGAGGGTCTCCTGAACACCCCACCAACAATCCTCAACGGATTAACGCAGAACCCGAGCATGCAGTGCTGTTTGGGTTCAGCGGGGATCACCCAGGGCGCACTAGCCTTGTTCGGGGGACCTTCAGAGCTACACCCGGCATATGCCTGGGATGGGGCTAAGCAGATGGGGCGGGGGGTCTAACAGGGTCTGGCACATGGTAGAAAACGACCTAGCCGCTGTACAACCTCCAGGCCCCTAAGTTTTGCCCTTAAAACACGCGGTCATCATTCATGAACTATTTCCGTCCTAGTGCTTACAGGGTAATATCGCGGACGGCCAGCAGAAAGCGCTAAGGAGAACGCAACACCGTCTGTCTGCAGATCAGGGATGTTCAAAGCCTAGGTCCCACGCTGAACTCTGGCTGAGCCTTAGAATCACCTGGGTCCGGTTTTTAAAACCTTGTGGCAAACAAGAAAATCCAGCTGTTGGCGCGGAGCGGCACAGTGATTTATTACTGGAAACTTGCTTCCCACGTTGCACATGGGAAGCCTTAGAGGAACAGGCTGAGCTCATTTGCATAAAGGACGCTGGAGTTTAATCCTATTTTCTTTTTCTGCTTTTTTTTTTTGAGCCACAATAGACTGTGTTGAGGGCTGACAGTGCTCAGGAATCAACCCTGGCAGTGCTCTGTGAACTGGGTGACTGCAGACAAGCACCCTATCTCATATACTTACTACCTTTCTAACCCTAATCCTACTCCCCTCTCCAATTTTTAAAATTTTAATATTTTTGTTTGTTGGTCACACCTGGTGATGCTCAGGGGTTACTCTCTGCACTTAGGAATCACTCTTGGATGGTGCTCAGGGGACCAAATGGGACGCTGGAAGTAGAACTTGGGCTGACTGCGCACAAGGCAAGTGCCCTACCCATTGTACTATCATCATTCTGGCCACCATCTTAATCCTATTCTCATTTCTTTTGAAGTTGGTGAGCCCTCATGGGTAGCTTATGTGAGGTGGAGAGGAGAGAGATGGCCACTTTCTCCCCATCCACTTTGGCCACCCAGGACCGGCTGAGAAAGTTCGCCATGAGCCCCTGTGCGGCATGGCCCAGAGCCCCACCAGCCCCACCAGGTGGTCGGCAAGCCACACCTGAAACCCACTTGACCTTCTTGCAAAGCAATTAATCCCCACCACCCGATTTCTTGGGGAATCATGGACTCAGGTTAGAGCGAGGAATTGCTTTTTGCAGGAAAGGAGAAGTCAGTCCTTTCACCCACGCCTCCAGGGTCTTTGTCCTTCTTACAGAAAAGAATTTCAGGATATAAGCAGAGAAGTAAAAACAACTTTTATTTGGAGGCTTTGGGGTAGGGAAAGGAGGGGGGGGAAAGGGAGAAAGTAATGTGCTCAAGAGAGAATGTGGGCTTCTCCAAAGGTAGAGAGTGCCCCTGCACACATCTCAAGAGGGGAGATGCAGGCGACACATGTGCTGAGACCACACAAGAGCTCTGTCACGTGAGGACAGAGCACTGGTAAGCGGGGAGGGTGTTTGCCGTGCACACGGCCGACTCGGGTTCAATTCCCGGCATCCCATATGGCCCCCCAAGAACCACCAGGAGTGATTCCTGAGTGCAGAGCCAGGAGTAACCCCTGAGCATCCTTGGGTGTGACCCAAAAAGGAAAAAAAAAAAGTTCTCTCGCATGGGCACAAGCACCACATGAGCTCAGGCAACATATGCACATTCTTCCTTTTTAAGAGGGTTTTCCCCAAACTGCCCCACGTGGGGCCTTCTAGCTAGGTAAGAGTCTATTGCTAGGGGTGGTTACCAAGGGTGTTAGAGAGTTGGGATGGTTTTCTTTGAAATTCCTTTGACCTTTGTTCCCCTGGCTTCTCTTAGAGGGTGTGTCTAGCCCTCTCTGCTCTGAGCTAGCTCCAGATAAATGCCCAGTCAGGTTTTAGTTGCTGTAGTCACAAGGTGGGTCTGGAGGCCCTTAGTGCTAGGTGATTGCCATGGGGGCGCTTCCCTAATCTGCCCGCCTACCTCTCTTTCTCCTAAGGGTTCTTTTTTTCTTTTTGGGTCACACCCGGTAACGCTCAGGGGTTACTACTGGCTCTGAATTACTCCTGGTGATGCTTGGAGGGCCATATGGGATGCCGGGGATCGAACCCAGGTTGGCCGCGTGCAAGGCAAATGCCCTACCTACTGTGCTATCACAGTGACCTAACCGCTCTACTAGTAGTGCTCTGGCCCCTCCTAAGGGTTCTTGAGGTTGCCTGTTAATGAGGTGGTATCAGGGAGACATCAAGTTAAAGGAAACTGGGTCCAAGGTTGGCAGATTCTTAGTGCCTGGGGCAAGCTGATTTCCTGAGGGGTGGGGGATGGAGAGGGAGGAAGAGGAAGAAAGAAAGTGAAGGGGAGAGGGAAGCGGAGAGGAAGGGGAGAGGTAGAGGGGAGGGGGAGAGGAGAGAGAAGGTGGGGTGAGGAAAAGAGAGGGGGAAGAAGGGAGGACGAGGGGTAGGGGAGAGGGAGGGAGAAAAAGGGGAAGGAAAGGGAAGGAGAAAGGGGGGAGAGAGGAGGGGAGAGACAGAGGGGAGGGAGAGGAGGGAGGAGGGGAGTGAGAGGCGAAAGAAGGGGAGAGGGAGGGGGAGGGAGAGAAGAGGGAGGGCGGGGGAGGGCGGAGCCGCCGCCGCCGCCGACTTCCCGCTTCCGCGCCGGGCGGCCCGTGGCCATGGCGGGCGTGGGCTGGGGCCCGGTGCCCGTGTGGCTGGCCGAGGAGGACCTGGGCTGCGTCATCTGCCAGGAGCTGCTCAAAGGGCCCACCACGCTGCCCTGCGGGCACAGCTTCTGCCGGGACTGCCTGCGGGAGCTGTGGGCGAAGGGGCGGGGCGCGGGGGCCCGTCCGAGCTGGTGCCCCACCTGCCGCGACGACTGGCCGGCCCCGCTGGCGCTGCGCAAGAACCCGCTGCTGCAGGAGCTCACGGACAAGTACCGCCGCGCGGGGCCCCCGCCCGCCGCGCCGCCCGCGCCGGTAGGGACGCGCCCGCCGCACGCTGCCCGCCGCCCGCTGCTGCCCGCTGCCCACGGCCCGCCGCGCCCGCGCGCGTGCCCCGCCTCCTCGCCCCCGCCGCTTCCTGCCTCCGCCCACTTGTTAGACGCCCCCTCGACCGCCTCCAGCGAAGCCGGGAAGCCCCGTCCCTCCCCGCCTCTCCCCCCCCAACGCTGCCCACCTGCTGCCCCGCGGTTTCTGGCTCGCGGCTCCTTTCCTACGCCTCCCCGGGGGGCCCTCGCTCGCTCGGAGCACGGTTTGCCACGTAGGGATCACTCCTGGACGCGCTTGGGGGACCCTAGTCGGAGGGCGCCAGGAATCAAAGCCTCCTGCGTGACAAGCGCCCTAACCGCTCTACTAGTAGTGCTCCAGCCCCGGCTTTTTTTTTTTTCTTAGCATGATCATTTCACGAATATTTTGGTTCGTTTTATATCATACGATGACACAACGACTGCATCCGTTGTTATGCTTTTTCCCGTTTTTCTGGCTGAATCATTTTGCATTGTTCCGGCATCCCCCAGTCGGGGGATTTGAATTATTTCCACCTCTTGGTTCCTGTAATATTGGACATTGATAGCTTAGTATTCCAGCCCCCTATTTTCGATTCTTTGGATAAATACTGGGCCCGCTCGAGCAAATCGATGATCAACGGGAGGGCCTTTACTTTTTACTTTTACTGGATAAATACTGAGGGCTGGAATTGCTTGGCCAGAGGGGAATTCTGTTTAGCTTAACAAGACTAGCTAAACTGTTGTTCATAGCTTGCTTTATTTATTTACTTATTTGTTTGGTGTTTGAGTCACTCCCAGCCATGCTCCAGGCTTACTCCTGACTCTGCACTTAGGGATCACTCCCGCTGGCTCAGGGGATCATATGGGATGCTGGAGATTGAACCCCAGTCAGGTTCATGCAAGGCAAGCACTCCACTAACTGTCCTATCACTCTGGCACATGTGTTCTTAATTGTAGTCCCTTTGTTTGGTGACATAGTCAAACTCTTCTTGCGAAGACTATTCCTTGTCATGCGTGTGTAGCCACTGATGTCTCTCTCTTCCTTGCTTTGGTTTAGCTAGTTGATGACAGAAATTTTCTTAATGGTAAGAACTGAAAAATAAGCAAAACGTCCTTCTCTCAAATCTCTGCAGATTTGCAACGTGCTGGGTCCCCCTTCAACACTTATCTGGGATTATACTAAGGCGAGGAGTTAGCCCAAAGTTCCACTGGGTGCAGCTCCCCCTAGGATTCATATGTACTTAAATAACATCTTTAAAGTATTTTGCTGAACTTGTATCATTTTGGTTTTGGGGTCACATCAGTGGTGCTTAGGGCTTACTCCTGGCTCTGCACTCAGGAATCGCTCCTGGCAGTGCTCAGGGGACCATATGGGATGCTGGGGGTTGAACCTTTGTTGTCCGCATGCAAGGCAAGCACTCTGTCTGCTGTAGTCTCTCTCCAGCCCCAGGGGCTTCTCTTCTTTTTTTTTTTTTTCTTTTTGGGTCACACCCGGCAATGCTCAGGGGTTACTTCTGGCTCGTGCACTCAGGAATTACTCCTGGCAGTGCTTGGGGGACCTTATGGGATGCTGGGAATCGAACCTGGATCGGCCATGTTGGCTGCATGTAAGGCAAACACCCTACCCGCTGTGCTATTGCTCCAGCCCCAGGGCTTCACTTCTTTATGCTGCTTGCACAGGTGCTCACAGGGTCATGCTCTTGACTTGCAATGTTCACGAACTTTTTGGTTATAGAGCTCAACCAGAGGTCACTGCAGTGCTCACACACCCTCCTTAAAAGTAAAAATTCCTGGCTGTGGGGCCCACACATTTTTTTAGTGGTGTTTGTCAGGCATCAGTGCCCTTTAGTTGGATAGTCACACACAATTGGGCAGAAATTACCTGGAGATCAGAAACAGCAGAGCTATCAGGATTGTGCTTGGAGCATGGGGGGTACTGGGGACTGAACTCATGGGCTTACACTTACCAGATAGGTATTTTATAAACCACTGTATTATTCCTCTAGGCCCCCACATCCCTCTTTAAAAAGAGCACGATTTGGGGCTGGAGAGATAGTACAGTGGGTAGGGCATTTGCCTTGCAAGTGGCCAACCAGGATCCCTGGAATCCCATCTGGTCCCCCAAGTCATTCCTGAGTATAGAACCAGGAATAAGCCCTGAGCATTCCTAGGTATGGCCCCATAACTAAAATAACAGATAAAATAGTGTGATTATAGTTCCTAAAGCACCTGTAATACTGGGGCCTGAGAGGTAGTGTAGGGGTTATGTTTTTTGCCTTGCATGTGGCCAACCCCAAATCAATCCCCAGCACTACCTGTGGTCCCCTAAGCACCACCAGGAGTAAGCAGAGCACCACCAGGTGTGACCCAATCACCCCTTTGCCCCCTCCTCCAATAATTTAAAAAAACCTACTGTTTTTTTTTTTAATGATGTAGGAGTACTGCTGTTTACTCAGCCATTGATTAAACTGATTGAATTGGGCATGATCTCCACATTAATTTTTTTCATTCATAATGTTAATTTTATTTATTATTATTTTCTCCCCTTTTTATTGATTCACCGTGAGATACACAGTTTTCATGTTTGAGCTTCAGCCATACAGTCATCAGACACCCATCCCTTCACCAGTGCGCATTTTCCACCACCAAAATTCCCAGTAACCCCCCCACCCGCCCCGTTCCAACTCTTCCCCTGCCTGTGTGGCAGACAATTCCCCCATACTCTCTCTCTCTACTTTGGTTACATTCGATATTTCCAGATCAGTCCCACACACCACTCAAACCTGCCGAAAAGGCAGTGCTAGACGATTTGTTTTGTATTGCTTGTTATGGGTAGAATATAATGTTCAGGAAATTCTGTTGTCATTCTCTTCCGGGAGCAGCTTTAGTTTATAGTCTCTGGATCTTGGCCTTTGATGAGATTACATGGTGTGGGCAGGGGGGGCGGGGGGACACAGTTTGTGGGTGTGACTGCCAAGCTTCTGGAAAACTGGGGGCCTATGAAGAGGAGGCCCAGTCCCTATCCTAGTGGACCTGGAGATCTCAGTCATGAGTTCTCGCTTACCTTCATGCCACTGACACTAACTGCATCTTTTGATCTCTTTCGAGATATATGGGTCTCTGAAATAAGGCCAGTAAGTGAGCTTATATAGCTGAGCCCGATGGAGGTGGCTTGTGGGTGTGGCTCTCACATACCTAACTTTTGACGGTTTAATTTCTTGGTAAACTTGGCCCCAAGTTGTTGGGGTCTGGCCAAGGCACAGCAGCAATTTTGGGGTATCTAGAAATCTGAAGGCACCATCAAGCTGCTGATGCACTCGCCCTGCAGGTACGGGTTGACCTGCTGGCAGCACCATATCCCCAAACCTACAGTTTTGAGGAATATCATAGGTTTTTAGAAAGGAATAAGATCCTGGGTCATTTGAGCTTTTGAGGTACCAGCATAAATACAAAATGAAATATGGTTATAGAGACTGGCTTATTGTGGGGTTAATGGTAACCATCTATTTCTGTGATTCCACACAAGACCCCAGTAGGAGACAGTATCAGATTCTCCCTGGGGATCGGGTTTAACCTGCCTCTGCTGAGAGTTCCTAGGTCTGAGGTGGTTGTTGCCAGAATATATAGGTGGCAGCACCTACTCCCTCTCCCCCTCAGGCAACTGAGCAGATTAAGCTCTTTAGTGGAGGGCCAGAGCCATAGTATAGGAGGCAGGCAGGGCACTTGTAGCGTATGATCCCCTAAGCGGTACTTGAGCACAGATCCCTGAGCATAGCTGGGTGTGGCCCAGAAACCAAAAACTGTTAGCTCTTTAAGTGGAATTGTTTGCACTCTGAGCAGAAAATGTCCTCACTGAGGAGGCTGTCCATATAAAGGGCTTGCATCCACGAAGTCCCTTTCTTTCTTTCTTTCTTTCTTTCTTTCTTTCTTTCTTTCTTTCTTTCTTTCTCTCTCTCTCTTTTTTTCATTATTTCTCTCTCTTTCCTTCTTTCTTTTTCTTTCTTTCTCTTTCTTTTTTTCATTATTTCTTTCTCTTTCTTTCTCTCTTATTGAATCAACATGAGATACAGTTACAAATCTTTAATTTTTGAGTTTTAGTCATACAATGATTGAACACCCATTCCTCCACCAGTGCTAATTTTCCACCACCAGTGTTCCCAGTATCTTCCCCCACCCATCCCAACCCTCCTCCTGCCTCCATGGCAGACAATTTCGCCCATACTCTGTCTCTACTTCTGGGCATTATGGTTTGCAATATAGATACTGAGAGGCTATCATGTTTAGTCCTTTATCTACTTTTAGTACACATCTCCCATCCCAAGCGATCCCACCAACCATCATTGACTTAGTGATCCCGTCTCTATTCCAGCTGCCTTCTCCCCGAGCTCATTAGGGCAGGCTTCCAACCATGGAACAATATTCCTAATCCTTGGGTCTACTGTCCTTGGGTATCAGTCTCAAATTATGTTATTTTATATTCCACAAATGAGTGAAATATATGTCTGTCCCTTCTATGTCTGTCCCTCCCTGACTCATTTCACTTAGCGTGATACTCTCCATGACCATCCACTTATAAACAAAGTCTGTTTCAAGTCTCCAAGATCCTTTCAGAAGGGGCAGTAGGGAAATCCTTCATGACTGAAGCAGGAAGGAGAGACCATCTCTTGTATAAGCCAGAGACACTTGCCTTCTCAGCCTCTGCACTGCCAAACCTCCGGGCTCTCCTCTCTCTTCCCTCAGGATCCAGGTCCTGGCTCTAAAGGGCTAGAGCATATTTTGCATTTGGAAACCCAGTGATCAAGCCCCAGCACTACGTGGGCTCTTGAGCACCATACTGGGAGCATCACCGAGTTTGCCCCACAAGGAAACAAACGTGAATAAAAAGTGATGCTCAGGGGTACTCCTGGCTCTGCACTCAGAAAAAACACACACCCCTGACAATGCTTGGGGGACAATCTGGGATGCCAGGGATTGAATTCGGAGATTGAACTCAGGTCGGCTGCATGCAAGGCACCCTCCCCGCTGTACTATTTGAGCTTAAGTCTAGACGCAGAGCAGTTGAGGGAAGCAGGTGTGGTATGGGGTTTGTCCTTGCCTTTATTCAGTGTTTACTGCTCCCCCTGGCTATCCCTAGTTGCATTTTATTGTTTCTGCTGTGCTGGGTATCAGTCTCAGGGCCTTCCCAGCGCCAAGCATGCTCTCTCCCACGAATCTTCATTCCTTGTCTCTGCTTTGCTTTTTTTTTTTTTTTTTTCCAAAGCCAGTGGCCCAGCAGAGCAATTCTACGGTCGGTCTGGAGCTGACAGAGTTGGTGGAACAGCTTATAGATATTTCCAGGAACCTTCAAAAGGAGGCACAATACCTACAACCTGGACCAGAGGATGAACCAAACCCCCTGGACGTGGTGAGCCTCCGGGGGAGGGCAAGGGGCAGCTTCCCTGGGAGCTCCAAGGATGAGCTGCTAAGTAGACTATAGACCAAACATGATGGCCACTTAATACTTCTATTGCAAACCACAACGCCTCAAAAGAGAGAAAGAGCAAAAGGCAATGCCCTGCCACGGGATGGGGTGGAGGGGACAGGGTGGGAGGTGGTGTGAGGGATGCTGGGACCATTAATGGTGGAAAATGGACACGGGTGGAGGGATGGGTCATTGTATGACTGAAACGCAAGCACGGAAGTTTGTAAGCCTGTAACTGTGCCTCATGGTAATTCACTAATTAAAAACAAAAAATTTAAAAAATTAAAAAAAGAAAAAGGATGAGCTGCTAGTGGGAAGATGCAATGTCCTAATCTCTCTCCAGTCTCTTTCCTGAGGCAGGGGCTTCAGAAAGTGAAGTGAGGAGAGAAGTTTAAGTCTGGGTTATCTCAGCTCCTATCTGGCTTATTTATTTTGTAAACCCTTATTTTATGGACTTATGGGTGGAGTGATAGCCCTACACCACTTAAGCCCTATAGTGGGTAGGGCATTTGCCTTGCACGTGGCTGACCCGGGTTCGATTCCTTCGTCCCTCTCAGAGAGCCAGGCAAGCTACCGAGAGTATCCCGCCTGCATTCCATATGCCAAAAACAGTATTCGATATGCCAAAAACAGTAACAAATCACCTCACCTCACTTTCAGTATGCCAAAAAACAGTAACAACAAGTCTCACAATGGAGACGTGACTGGTGCCTGCTCGAGCAAATCAATGAACAATGGAAGGACAGTGCTACAGTGCTATCTTATAGACTTATCTCCCCCAGCCCTAGATTTGGGTCATTACTAGTGCTCATCCCATCCCTGCAGTGCTAGGGGCATGAGCTGGGAGTGGGGATGGGACTTGAGGGTGACACTGGCACTAGGCCTTCATCTGGGGGTGTTCAATGGGCCATGCATGAGGGACTGGGGATAGAACTCAGGGACTCAGGCAGATTAAGCGAGCACTTGACTGCTTGAACCATATTCCCAGTCTTAGATTTTAAATATTTTAAATATCTTTTATTGTCTAAGAAATAAATAGTTTACATATCTCACAAGAAACTACATAGCAATTTCAAGAAAATAAATGAAAATCATCCATAATTCTACCACACATCTGCAAATAAGTAGTCTTTGATATTTTGACTATGCTCTGCAAGATTCCAGATTGCTTTAGTCTGAATTATGAGGGCCTATTTATGTTTTTAAAACTTTTGGGGGGGCCAGCACAGGGGGTACGGTGTTTGCCTTACTAGCAGGTGACCCAGGTTCAATCCCTGGCACTCCACATAGCCCCCCTGAGTCTTCTAGGAGTGATTTCTGAGTGCAGAGCCAAGAGTAAACCCTGAATACTACTGGGTATGAGCTCTCCTCCCCGCCAAATAAAAACTTTGTTAGGGAAATAAGTGGAAAATTATAGTTGCATGTAGTTGTGTGGTAGAAATGGGATGTACTATTAGATATATTCTCTCTGTGTGTCTCTTTCTCTCTTTTGGTTTTTAGGCCCCACAGAGTTGCTCAGAAATTACACGTGGTGGTGCTTTGGGGATCAGATGGGTTGCTAGGGATAAAATCTGCGTCTGCCTCATGCAAGGCAAGCACCCTATCCACTGAAGTATCGCTGTATGATGCTTTTGTTTGTTTCTGGGCCACACCTGGCAGTGCTCAGGGGTTGACTTCTGGTTCTGGTGAGCTCAGGGGACCATATGGGATGCTGGGGATTGAACCTAGGTCTCCCGCACGAAAAGAAGCACCCGACCCACTGTACTATCACCCTGGCCCCTATCTGATTCAATATTTTTCCCCCTTCTTTGGATCATACCTGATGATGCTCAGGGATTTACTCCTGGCTTTACACTCAGTAATCACTCCTGGCAGTGCTGAACATATGGATGCTGGGGATCAAACCCAGGTTGGTCACGTGCAAGGCCACTGTACTATCACTCGGTTCCCATTGATTCAACTTTAGGAGACTTTCATGTGTCGATGTTTTATGTGATGAATCAGTAAGATTTTTCTGATGGCATTGACCTTCCCTTGACCTCTCCAAAGCAAGACACTTTTGAGACACGTGGAAAGAAATTGCAGTTTTATGTGCACCAACTGGAAGAGATCCAGGGGAAATTACAAGAGAACTTCAAGCGCAAGGAGACCTTTGAAGAACAACCTGTTGGTGAGCTGTTGTTACTTGGTGGAGAAGGATTGGGGGAATAGGGTAACTTGATTTTGAACGAGTCCGGATTTCTTCCTGCATTATCCTTGTGGGGTTCCCTATGGAGTTATGAAGGTGGCAGGAGTCAGCACAAGTATTTTTGTGGCAGGATGTGGTTGGATGTGGCTGGAGGTGTGAAGTATCACTGGGCTCTTCATCCTTTGATGCTTTCTGCTAAGGCCCATAAGCCCAGAATGAACACTGAATTTGCTAACTCGTTGCTTATCTGAGTTATCTGCTAAGCAATATTTATTTTATTTTTGGGTCACCTGCCTACCATTGTTCATCGATTTGCTCAAGCGGGCCCAGTAACGTCTCCATTGTGAGACTTGTTGTTACTGTGTTTGGCATATCAAATACGTCACGGGTAGCTTGCCAGGCTTTGCCGTGCAGGTGAGATACTCTCGGTAGTTTGATGGGCTCTCCGAGAGGGGCAGAGGAATCGAACCCGGGTCACCCGGGCCAGCCGCATGCAAGACGAACACCCTACCGCTGTGCTATTGCTCCAGCCCTAGTTTAGTTTTAGTTTTTTTATTTTCTTTTTGGGTCACACCCGGTGATGCTCACAGGTTGCTCCTGGCTCTGCACTCGAATTATTCCTGGCAGTTCTTGGGGCACCAAATGAGATGCCAGAAATTGAACCCAGATAGGCCAAGTGAAAAACAATCGCCCTCTCCACAGTACTATCACTGGGCCCCCTTCAGCCTCTATTTTAGCCATTGCTTTACCAAATAAACTTTGTCATATGACTATGAGTATAGCCCATGTGAGTGACTTGGTCTCAATCATGTTAATGCATGCAAGTGTTTGAGTACAAACACTATTGACATTATTGACATTTTCTTTAATATATCTTGAAACCTTTGGAAATAGTATTTTAAGTGCTTTCTCTTTTACAGCTGCATACTATTCTTTTTTTTCTTTTTTTGGGTCACACCCGGCAAGGCACAGGGGCTACTCCTGGCTTTGCACCCAGGAATTACTCCATGGCGGTGCTCGGGGGCCCATATAGGATGCTGGGATGCTGGGAATTGAGCCCAGGTCAGCTGCATGCAAGGCAAATGCCCTACCTGCGGTACTATTGCTTCAGCCCTGCATACTAGTCTAACTTAGGACTTTGCCAACGTTTATTTACCTAGTCTTATACTGATAAATACATGTCTGTTGTCAACTGCTTTCAATTACAATGTTAAAGTCAATAACTTGTACATGTATCATTTTAAATGGGTGCAGATGAAATTTAGGTAAGAACAGGGAAATGTAAAACATACATAAAATACTGAAAATAAATAAATAGGGGATTAGAGAGATAGTACAGTGGGTAGGGCATTTGTCTCATATGTGGCTGATCTGGGTTTAATCCCTGGCACCCCTTATCATCTCTTCAACACTGCCAGGAATGATCCCTGAGTGCAGAGCCAAGAGTAAGCCCTGAGCATTGATGGTTGTTGGCCCCAATAACAAAATAAATAAACTGGAGGCCGGAATGATAGTACAGCGGATAGGACTTTTGCCTTGCACAGGGTCGACCTGGGTTCAGTCCGCAGCATCCCATATAATCCCCCAAACACCGCCAGGAGTGATTCCTGAGTGCAGAGCCAGGAGTAACCCCTGAGCATCTCTGGGTGTGACCCAAAAACCAAACAAAGAAAATTAAATTAAAATAAATAAATAAATAAACTGCTGATAAGGTTGCTGAGTCATAATATAAATTCATTTGTAATATTATTTGGTTTTGTAATTCCAGTGGTTGATCCCAGGGTCTCACAAAGGCAAAGTATGCAACTTTACCACTGAGCCACATCCATGACCCACCTCATTTGTAATTTTTGTTTTACATCACACACTTGGTGGTATTCAGGGGGTCCTTCATGGAAATATTTTGGGGACCATATGCAGTGCTGGGGATTGAATGGGGAATCTCCTGCTTACAAGGCAGGTGCTTTACCCCCTGTACTAGTTCTTTGGCCCCTCTTTGTAATTTTGTTTGTTTTTGGTTTCTGGGCCGTACCTACCTGTGCTCAGGACTCCTGGCTCTGTGCTCAGGGATTAGTCCTGGTGAGTTCAAGGGACCTCATGGGTTTTGGGGATTGAACCCAGGTTGGTGGCTTGCAAGGCAAGTATCCCACTTGCTATACTATTGCTCTGACCCCTCTCATAATTAAAATTTAAATTAACATAATTTTAATGTTTGATGCCATATTACCCACGAGGTGGGTTGTATCAGTTTACACTCTCACAAGAGAAATGTGTGTTCTCAGAGTCCGCCACCTGGGTACTCTGTCAAATGTTTTTATATGTGTGATAATCTAATGGGATGAAAAGCGATATTTGAGTATTCCATACCTTAAATTCCATACATTTAATTCCATAATATTCCATACATTTGAGTATTTCATACTTTTAATCTACATGCCTCCATGAATTATCTGTTTAAAGCTTATGTGTGGGTCCTTTGAAATTATTATTTTATATTATTATCTGTCACACCTGGCAATGCTCAGGGGCTACTCTTGGCTCTGAACTCAGGAATTTGGGGCTGGATCGATAGTACAGTGGGTAGAGCATTTGCCTTGTACGTGGCCAACCCAGGTTCGATCCCTGGCATCCCATAGGGACCCTAAGCACGGCCAGGAGTAAATCCTGAGTGCCAAAACAAGAGTAACTCCTGAGTATCACCCAGTGCAGCCCCAAAACAAAGAAATTATTCCTGGCAGTTCTCGGGGGACCTTATGGAGTGCTGGATATCAAACCCAGGTCTGATGTGTACAAGGCAAGTGCCCTACCCTCTATACTTTCTTTCCAGTCACATGTTTTGCTTTTATTTGTGTCCAGCTTTTATTTTTTAAAATAAAAGATTTGTATATCTATCCCTATTTCCTGAAACAAAGTTCCCTGTAGTCTTCAGAGGATTGTTTTTAAGACAGTTGTTTAGTTATTCCCCAGAACAGAACCTCAACAGTTGCCAACAGTCTGATTGCCTCTTCACAATGATTTTCTTTGATCCCTGTAAGTCCAGGCCACAGCTGCTGCGGAAATCACACAGCCTGAACAGAATAGTGTTTTCAAGGTGTGGCTGAGAACACTCATTGCTAAGAACAATGCAGAATTGAGGGCCCATTGCCCAGCTGCAGAGCTAGCAACTTTGAAAATAAGTCTCAAGGGGGCCAGAGAGATAGCTCATTGGGGGCCCTACCCCAAAACAAAAAGGGAGCTGAAGAGATAGTATAACAGGTAGGGCTGTTGCCTTACACGTAACCAGCAGGGATTGATCCCTGGCACCCAATATGGTCCCCTGAGCCCTGAGCATAGAGTCAAGAGTAAACCTTGGCACAACTGGGTGTGGCTTCCACCCCTCAAAAAACTGAGCAAACAAAAATTAATGGGTTGAGGGGCTGGAGTGATAGTACGGCAGGTAGGGCACTTTCCTTGCACATGGCCAATGTGCATAATTTTCAGTTGGGTTCAATCCCCAGCATCCCATATGATTCCCCAAGCACCATCAGGAGTAATTCCTGAGTGCAGAGGCAGGAGTAACCCTTGAGCATTGCTGGGTGTGACCCCCCAAAAAAGCATCCTACCCCTAAAATTATTGGGTTGAGCACAAGTTTTGCATTCAGTAAGTTCAGGTGTGATCCTCTGTAATGCATGGTCCCAAAGCACTCCAGGAGTGGCCCCTGAGCCCTGAGTCAGGAGTAGCTTCCTAGCAGCACTAAAAGAAACAAAAAAAAAAAAAAGAAAAGAAAGGATGCAGAGAGATAGTATAGAAGTTAAGGCACTTGCTTGCATGCGGCCAACCACAATTTGATTCTCGGCTTTGCACATGGTCCTCTGAGCACCACCAGAAGTGATCCCTGAGTGCAAAGTCAAGAGTAAAGTGTGAGCACCACTGGGTGTGATGCCAAAAACAAAAAAGTGAGGGCTGGAGCAATAGCACAGCGGGTAGGGTGTTTGCCTTGCATGTAGTCAACCCGGGTTCGATTTCCAGCATCCCATATGGTCCCCTAAGCACCGCCAGGGGTAATTCCTGAGTGCAGGAGTAACCCCTGTGCCCTGTGCGTCACTGGGTGTGACCCCCCAAAAAAAAGCGAAAAAAACTATCACAAACAGTTGATAAGCAATCAGCTTCATACTCAGAAAGCTGAACATTGGGGCCAGAGCAATAGTGCAGTGGATAGGGTTCTTGCCTTGCATGCTGCCAACTGGGTTCGATCCCCAGCGTCCTATACGGTCCACTGAGCACTGTCAGTTAGTGATGAGTTCAGAGCTACGAGAAACCCCTGAGTACCTCTGGGTGTGACCCAAAAAAACAAAAAGAAAGTTGAATGTAGCACAGTATTCCTCTGTAATAGTTACTAATGTTTTATTTAATAGTTACTAACATTTTATTATTTTTTTTGTAGGAGTACTGCTATTTATTCAGCCACTGATTAGCTGATTGAATTGTGCATGAACTCCACCTTACTTTTTTTTTCCACTTTTTATAATTTTATTTATTGAATCCCCGTGAGAGCAGTTACAAAGCTTTTGGATCTAAGTCTCAGTCATACAATGAAACACCCGTACCTTCACCAGTGACCATTCTCCACCACCAAAAATCCCAGTATATCCCCATCCCACACCCTCCCCCTGCCTGTGGGGCAGATGATTTCCACATTATTCTCTCTCTACTTTGATGACATTCACTATTTTGACATCAGACCCACCATTATTTGAGATTTTACACCAACACTCAGATCTGCTGAAAAGGCAACAATAGACAATTTGTGTTCTATTGCTGGTTATGAATAACATATGATGTGGTGTGGCTGTAGTAGGGCCATGTGGTTTTGAAATTCCGAAATTTTAACACTTAAATCTGGAGGGATTTCTGCCAAAAGCCACTGGGTTTCGAGATCTGCTCCTGAGTCTCTGGGATCATGGCCGTTGAGCAGCTTGATGAGGAGCCAGAGAGGCCGTTTGTGGGCGATGACTTGGGGTCTTGTTGGGGTGGGGGGGAGGACAGACCCGGCTCCCCCCTCCCCCCCATCCCGTGAGGCCCAACAAGTTTCATCACTGCGGGCCCAAGCCTGACTGCCCAATGGCCTTTGGAGGATGACAGCCACCAAGTCGCCAAGAGGGAGCAGGCGTAGGGACAACACTCTTTCCTCCCTGGGGTGGCCCGGCGACAGTAACGTACTGTGGAGTCTGGATGCATTTCTGCCAAAAGCCACTGGGTTTTGAGATTTGTTTCTGAGTCTCTGGGATCATGGCTGTTAAACAGCTTGATCAGGAGCCAGAGAGGCCATTCGTGGGCGATGACTTGGGGTCTCGTTGGGGTGGGGAGGACAAGCCCGGTTCCACCCCCATCCCGTGAGGCCCTGTGTGTCTCATCACTGGCGGCCCAAATGTGAATATCCAGTGGCCTCAGACGGATGGCGGCCACTGGGCCGCCAGGGGAACAAGCCAAGGCACGAAACCTATTCCCACCTGGGTTGGCCCAGCACCGGTAGCCTACTGCAGAGACCAGACGCATTTCTACCTAAAGCCACTGGGTTCTGAGATTCGTTTCTGAGTCTCTGGGATCATGTCCATTAAGCAATTCAATCAGGAACCAAAGAGGCCTTGCCTCCAATTATATAGCTGAGCCGGAGGTGGTTTGTGGGTGTGTTTCCCACATACCTAACTTTTGGCCGTTTACTTTCTTGGTAAACTTTGCCCCAAGTTTTTGGGGTCTGGCCAAAGGCACAGCAGCAATTTTGGGGTATCTGGAAGTCTGAAAGCACCATGAGGCTGCTGATGCACTCGCCTCACAGGTACAGATTGACCTGCTGGTGGCACCATGCCCCTGTTACTAACATTTTAATAAACATCATTCGTCATTTCCCCCCTAAGTATAGTAAAGAACCATGATCACGATCACAACCATCCTGTTGTTTGTCGATTGCCTCGAGCAGGCCCCAGTAACGTCTCCTTCATCCTAGCCCAGAGATTCAAGGCTCATTCAGGGTTAGGAGAATGAGACCCATCATTGTTACTGGTATTTGGCATATTGGGTACACCACAGGGAGTTTGCCAGACTCTGCCGTGTGGGCAGGTTACATTTGGTAGGCTGCCATTTTGTCCAAAGTAAGAATGGAATAAAGAACCAATCAAGTTTAAATTATTTTTCCCAACAATAAAAGAAATCTTGGATTAGCTAAAAAGTTAGAGGACAAAGAAGAGGAAGACAGGAAGAAAGAGAAAATTAGTAGGTCTTCCAAATATTTTTAAAAACTGTGAAGAACTGGAGATACACTACAGGGTGTAAGGCACTTGCCTTTCATTGGCAGGATCCCAGTTTGATCCCTGGCACCACATGTAGCTCACTGAGCACTGCCAGGCATGATTCCTGAGCACTAATCCAGATGTAACCTCTGAGCACCATCAGGTATTGACCCCAAACCAAATAATTTGACAAACAACTGTGATTAATGATTAACAGTAAATAAATATTGTATGAGCTCACTAGAAGAACAGTAAGAACAGTGGTACCCACTGAATTTATTATTTTCTTGAGGGGGGAACTACACTCATGGGACTCAGGGAAAACTCCTGGCTTTGTATTCAGGGATAACTCTTGGTGAGGGTGTGGGGGATGCTCGGTGGTGCTGGGGACAGAATGGGGTCAGCCACATGCAAAGCAAGTGCCCTATATCCACTGTACTATCTTTCTGTCCCACATGTGGTTTTTCTTTTTTTGCTTTTTGGGTCATACCCCAAAAGAGATGCTCAGAGGTTACTCCTGGCTCTGCACTCAGGGATTACTCCTGGCAATGCTTCGGGGACCATATGGGATGGTGGTGATCAAACCCGTGTCAGCTGTGTGTAAGACAAACATCTTACCCACTGACTATCACTCTGGTTCGTGTGGTTTCTTGAAGTAAACTCATTTGCTCATGGGACTGAAGTGTCCTGCCCAGAGTGTGTTTCATGTTTCTCAGTCAACTCTTAAGGTTCATTTATTTGGTTATCACTTTAAGATCCAAATGGGGGAAGAGGATTGGAACGACATTATGGCAGTAAGGTGCTTGCCTTGCTTGTGGCTGACCCAGGCTCAAGCCCCGGCAACCCATGTTGAGTCCTGAACCCAGCCAGGAGTGATTCCTGAGCACAGAAGCAGAGTAAGCCCTGACCATGGCTGGGTGTGACTCGGTTCCAAAAAGAAAAACAAGAAAAAAAGCAAAAACAAGTGGGGGAAGAGTGCAGACTCTGGAACTCCTTTTATGTGTTTGGCTGCTACCCAGGACCAAACAGTCACACAGTAACTGTAACGACTCAACTGTAGTAAATTGTGATGAAATTAGGAGGTTTCAACAGTTATGATGAATTTCACAATATCGCCAGGGGGTGTCACTCAAGTCATGTTTTGTTTTGTTTGTTTGTTTTTCTGGCCTTGACCGCACAGTGGGGCTGGAGTGATAGCACAGGGGGTAGGACGTTTGCCTTGCAAGCAGCCAACATGGCCAACCTGAGTTCAATTCCTCTGCCCCTCTTGGAGAGCCTGGCAAGCTACCGAGAGTATCTCGCCCGCACGGCAAAGCCTGGCAAGCTACTCGTGATGTATTTGATATGCCAAACACAGTAGCAACAAAGTCTCCGATGGAGACTGGGCCCGCTCGAGAAAATCGATGAACAACAGGAGGACAGTGACAGTGACAGTGACCGCACAGTGATCAGAGCTCCGTGCTCATGGATCACTCCTGGGGAACTTGGGGGTCCAAAGCGGGGTGGCTGGACTCAAACCCATGTTAACTGGGTGCCCCAGATAAGGAAGATCTTCCTCAAGATAAGGAAGCCCCCTATTTCCTGTACTCTGGCCCCTAATTGCTTTTTTCCGCCCTAAACTTTCTCCTCCTCTTAATTCTGTTTATTTCTCAGGGAAACTCCCAGCAACGCCATCTTCCACTTCATGTCCACTTCCTGACCAGAAGAACTCTGCACCTAAGAGGGCCTCCTGCTTTGCTCAACGTAAGTGAAGAGTGTGCCCAGCCTGCTGCAGAGAGGGGCTGCAAGAACTTGCCCATCTCTGCTGCTCACAACCCCAGTTCTCCCTCCCTAGCTCCTTACTTGCAGAACTGCTTACAAAGATAAAGGGGGAATTGGAGTGATTTTATAGCATGTAGGGGGCTTGCCTTGCATACAGTTGACCTGGGTTTGATCCCAGTCTCCCCAGAAGGCCCCCTAATCCCCACCAGGATCCACCCCCACTGGAATGTCCGACTTCTGAGGGAATAAGCCACTGGGTGTGTCCCCCCACTCAAAAACAAACAAAAGACAAAGGAGATTGGAGACACCCACCCTGCTATCTAAGTTGAAAACATGAGCACCCAGAGCTCAGGCATCCATCATGGAGCTACTGCTAACACCAACTGCCACTCCCAGTCCTGGGGAGGTACTTTGTGTTGCTGCCCCTGTCTGGACTCATTCTTGAGGGCAAGGGTCTTTGCACCTTGAATCAGCTTGCTTGGATTTGCCTCCTAGTTCCTTTGCTTTCTATTCTGCAGTCTTGCAGGAATCACACACCCTTTCGCAGGTTCTGTGTCCTATTCTAGAAGTTCAAGATAAAAGTAGTATTTCCCTCTCTCATGGAATTGTCACCAGAGTTCGATGCATAAATGGGTACCTGTGTGCCTAGAGTAGTAAGTGTTCTATGAGTGTTAGCAATTTTTTTTTTTTGCTTTGTGTCACACCCTGCGATGCACAGGTGTTACTCCTGGCTCTTCACTCAGGAATTACTCCTGGCAGTGCTCAGGGGACCATATGGGATGCTGAGACTCGAACCAGGGTCGACTGCATGCAAGGCAAACGCCCTACCCACTGTGCTATCGCTCCAGCCCCAGTGTTAGCAATTATTGACCCCCCTCATAGGAAACAGTAGAAAGATAAATCAGAAGTTTATGTTTTACTTGAAAGATCTAAATAAACTGGTCATCAATCACAATACTATTGTATTAGTAGAAGATGGCAGGTATCATCAGAGAATAGAGAAAAAAACTAAGAATCTTGGGAAGAAAATTGTTTTTTTTTTTGGGGGGGGCCACACTCAGCAGCACTAAGGGGTTAATTTGCACTCAGGAATCACTCCGGGCGGACTCAGAGATTATATAAAATGCTGAGGATGAAACCTGGGTCGGTCACATGCAAGGCTAGCACCCAGCCCGCTGTACTCTCTCTCCGGCCCCAAGAATTGATCTTTTGAGAGTTAGATAGTACAAGGGTTAGGATGCTTTCCTTACACACCAGGTTTGGTTGGGGTTTGACCCCCAACACCACCTATGCTTCCTTAAGCACTGCCAAGAGTGATCCCTGAGCACAGAGCTAGGAGTAAGCCCTGAGAACTTCCAGGTGTTGTCCAAAGATAAAGGAAATTGATTTTTTTGTTGGGTGAAATTTAGAGGGACTAAAAGAGGGTCAATGGTTGGGTAAGTAGAGAAATAAAATTAATGGAATGTTGACATTCCCATTTAATGCACTATCAGCAACACATGATCACAGCCAAGATACAAAGGTACTCTGTGAGGGCCTCTTAGCAAGTGGGTTCAAAGTTGGCAAGCTGTGTCCTTGTTTTTCCCCAGATGCCGTTCATCTAACCTTCGACTACAAGAGCCTCTGCGACTGCCTGCAGGTGTCTGAGGATGGCCGGACCCTGATGGTGTCTAAGTACCGGATGCCCTATCCCCGGGGTCCTGAGAGGTTCACAGTCTGCCAGGCGTTCTGTTCCCAGGCCTTCACGTCCGGACAGCAGTATTGGGAAGTGGATACTCAGCACTGCAGCAACTGGAGTGTCGGGGTGGCTTCTAGGGGGATGAGCCGTAATGAGACCTTGGGAAGGACCCTGGATTCCTGGTGTGTCGAGTGGAAGGGAACCAACCAGCTGTCTGGGTGGTGCATGCAAAAGCAGACAGTCCTTGGCTCAGACAGACCCAGCGTGGTGGGCATCTGGCTGGACCTGGAGGAATGTAAGCTTGCCTTCTATTCAGTAGCTGATCAGGAGAAACTTCTGTATGAATGTCCCATCTCCCCCTTATATACTCTGCACCCTGCCTTCTGGCTATATGGCTTAGAGACTGAAAAGTTCCTCACTCTAAGGCCAGTGGAAATGTAAAGATTCCTCTGGGGTCAAAACATGGTTTCTCTATCTTTCTCTCTACTTCAAAGAAGGTAGAAACTTTACTCACAACAAAACAATAAAAGGAGGATCAATCTTGGGGGCGAGGGAAATAGAACAGAAGTTTAAGGTGTATTCCTTATATGTGGCTGGCCCAGATTTGATTCCTGAACCAAAGTGGAGTAGGACTCTTGCTTTGCATGCAGCTGACCCAGGTTCGATCCCTAGTGTCCCGTATACTTCTTTGATCCTACTGATGTCGGTGGGCCCCATGGGTGGCTCATGTGAAGTAGAGAGGTGAAAGACAGTCACTTTCTCCTGATCTGCCTCTGCCATCTGGGACCCAGGGTTACTGGGTTCTTCTCTGGCCTCGCAGAAAGGAATTTCAGGAGTAGATGAGCAGTGAAATTACAGTTTTATTTGGAGGTTTTGAAGGGAAAGAGGAAAAGAAAGTGGGAGAGAGTGGAGAATAATGTGCTCAAGAGAGAACCTGCTCCAAGGGCGGAGAGAGCGCCTATACACATCCCAGCATTAGACATGAAAGTATGAAAGTACACACTTCAAAAGGGGAGATACGGGCTACATGTGTGCTCAGGCACCACATGTGCTCGGCCACGTGGGAGCCAGCAGCATATGGACTTGGGCAGCATATGTGCGCCCTTCCTTTGTTCAAGGTTGGTTTTTATAGGGTTGTTGCTAAGTGGGTAGAATTGGGTTCAGATTTTGAAACTCCTTATCTTGATATTTTGGTCCTGCTGGATCCTCTCTGTGCTGAATAATTGGATAGGGGAGAGGTCTGAGGGTTTTCAGGGGACTTCATGGGAAGTGGTCCAATCTCCTCAGGGTCTACTGAAGGTCTTATCAGGTCTTTGTTTTCCATATCCACAGGGTGGATCAGCCTTACAATTTTCCTTCCCAGAAGTTTTGTTGACCTAAGTTTCATTGCCCAGGGCCTTTCCCTGTCTACCTGCCTACATTACTACAAGGAGTGATCCCTGAGTGCAGAACCAGGAGTAAGCGCTGAATACACCGACAGATGTGGCCCAAAAACCAAAAGGGAGAAGCTGGAGCGATAGCACAGTGGGTAGGGCGTTCGATTCCCAGCATCCCATATGGTCCCCCGAGCACCACCAGGAGTAATTCCTAAGTGCAGAGCCAGGAGTAACCCCTGAGCATTGCCGGGTGTGAGCCCAAAAAAAGCAAAAAATAATTAAAAATAAAAAAATAAATTAAAAAAAGAAAAATAAAATAAAAATATAATAATAAAATAAAATAAAATAATATAATATAATAATATAATAAAATAAAAATAAAATAAAAATAAAAAGAAGAAAGAATCCAAGTTGTGGGCCAGGGAGATAGTACAGTGGGTAAAGAACTACCTTTCATGCAGCTGACCCCAGTTTAACCATTGGTACTATAAACAGGCCCCTCAGCACTGCCAGGAGCGGTCCCTGTGTGACTACAGAAGTCCCTGAGTGAGGAGAGAGGAGTATCTCTTCCTACTGCAAGAGCCAGGAGTAAAACCCTGAACACAGCTGGGTGTGCCTTAAAACAAAACCCAAAAAGAAGAATCAAAGTTGTGGGCTAGAGGTTAAGGTGTGTATCTTGTCATGTGCTGACCAGACTTGATCCCTGGAACTGCATATGTTCCCCTGAGCACCACCAGGGGTCACTCCTGAGCAAAAAGCCAGGATTAGCCTTTGAGCACTGCTTGGTTCGACATCCCCGACCCTGCTTTCCCCGCCCCCTGCCCCCAAAAAGAATTCAACTTCTGAAATTCAGGGATACATGGTAAAACGCTAATTTAGCAAACTTAGGGCCAGAGAGATAGTACAAGGGGCACTTGCTATACATGCAGCTGACCCAAATTTGATCCCTGGTACTACAAGGTTGCCTGAGCACTCTGCCTGAAGCAACCTCTGAGCACAGAGTCGGGAGTAGTCCCCCAGCATCGCCAGATTTGGCTTAATGCTCCCCACCCTCCCTAAATATTAGCAGGCTTGGGACGTTCAAATATAGCAAATTCCTGCCCTGGCTCCTAGAGATGACTTCTAAGACCTTGGCTTCTGCTGACCGATAGGTGCGCCTGTGTTTACCTAGGGCCTTTGCTGTGTGCTCTCAGCCTGACCTCTGGAGACTGGAGATCAAAGTGAGCCACATGGGTGATGAATTCTGCCTCCATGTCCAACCCTCAAAGTCCTGGACACTGAGACTTAGATGAACTTCCCTCGCTGGCAGGACATGCCCTGCATGTGGGCATATCTCCGTGCTGGGAGAATTGGGCATTCCCCGGACTCCAGTAGGAGAGGAGAATGATGTAGCCCAGTCCCTGCCCTGTGCACCTCTTTCTATTGCTGATTGTAATCCAGATCCTTTCACAATCATAAACTGCAACTCAGAGCAGAAATATCTTCGTTAGGGTCTGTGAGTCCTTCCAGTCTTCCTGGAAAGAAGTGGCTTAGTGGATCTGAGAATGGTTTTAGGGACCCCCATCTGTGAAGGGCATGTTGTCAATTACTGTGTCATGATCTGAATTGCTTGATCATGATCTGAATGGTTTTCAAAATCACATGTTTGTTCTCTCACAGTGCCTGGACCCAGGGCACAGCCTTGCTGAGGCCTTTGGTTTGGAGGGTCTCAAGCTACAAGTGAGGTATGAGCTGGTGCCACACTTGACATTTGAGATGCTGCTAGGGAAAGGTCTGCTTGCAAATGCCCGCGGGGGTTAGCAGTGATCATTTCCCCGTGGCTGTCAGCCTGAGTCCTTCTGGGAGCCAGCCTCTGTTCCTTACCACATGAGGCTTTGTAATGCCTTTGCTCTCACTACAAACAAAGAAGGCAAGAAGGGAGAGAAGTTTCCGTTCAACTCTACTTTTGTTTTAGGTGGTTTCCTTTTCTTTTTTTTTTTGCTTTTTGGGCCACACCTGGCAATGCTCAGAGTTTACTCTTGGCTCTGCACTCAGGAGTTACTCTTGGTGGTGCACGGGGGACCATTTAGGATGTCAGGGATTGAAGCACAGTTAGTCAGATACAAAGCAAGTGCCTTACCCATGTACTATCACACCAGCCTCAACTTTTTTTTTCTTGTTTGTCTTGGGGCCACACCTGGTGGTACCCAGGTTTGACTACTCTCTCTTTGCTCAGGTATTACTCCTGGTGGGGTTCGAGGGACCATATGGAATGCTGGGGATTAACTAGGTGAACCAGGCGTAAGGCAAGCCCCCTACCTGCTATGCTCTCTCAAGTTGAAGTCCAGCTTGGGACTTCAACTCTTATATGATGTAATGACTTGGACATAGAGTCACCCTCAGCAGTGGCACACTCTGGAGCAGTCCTGGGGAACCTAGGACTTCACACAAGAAAGACATGCTCTGTCACTGAGCCACACCCCCACATTTCAGAAATAGTCATCCACTTCCTTTTATTTCTTGAGCATTTTAGCACCCAAATATGCATGAGTTTCAGTTTGCCCATTAAAACAGCAATGTGCCTTTTTCTTAACGGTTTTGCTGAGATTTAATTGGCATACTATAAAAGTGTTTCATTTACATACTATTTAAAGTGTGTAAAATTTAAAGTGTGTAAATCAGTGGGGTTTTTCTTTAGTATATTTGAGTTGTGAAGCCATTGCCATAATCTAATTTTAGAGCATTTTTATCACTCCCAGAAAGAGACCTCACCCCACTGAAAGTTGGTATTTGCGGGGAGGGGCTCCCAAGTGGTGCTCAGGAGACTTGGGGGCCCTTCTGGCATCCAACTGACTTGAAGTACACAGACTGGGGACAACCCAGGCCACCCAGATGGTGCTCCAGGGCCACACCTAGTGGTGTTGGGGGTCGCGTGGAGAGCAGCCTCTAGGGCTGCATTCCATAGTGATGGTTGGAGGACCATATGGTATTGGGCACTAAAATGGGGTCTGGAGAAATAGTACAGAGGTTGAGGCACTTGACTTGGATGCTACTAACCTTAGTTTGATCCCCAGCATCACCTTTGGTCCCTGAGCACTGCTAGGAGTGATCCCTGAGTACAGAGCCAGAAGTAAAGTCTGAGCACTGCTGGGTATGGCCGCCCCTCCCAAAAAAGTATGTAAATGGGACTGACATGGTTCAAGTGGTGGAGGCCCTCAAGTCAGTCCCTGACACTGCATGGCCCCGGGAATGACAAACAGCAAAAAGTTCTTTGTAAATCGAAGCCAGGAAGTCAGGTTCATGTGTCTTAATAAAATGGTAATCCCTATGTGTACCCTGAACTGGAGGCTGGTACCAGTGTGCCCCTCTCTCTCTCTCTCTCTCTCTCTCTCTCTCTCTCTCTCTCTCTCTCTCTGTCTCTCCCTCTCACTCTCTCTACCCTCCTAGATTATTAGGTGTTAAAAACTGACTGAGGCATTCGCCTAGACTTAATCAGGGTGGAACAATAGAACAAAAGGGGAAAATATCCTTCCCGGATTTATGTCTTGTCACTTTCTCTATTTGCCTCTTGTTCTTCCCCTTTGATGTACTTGGTTCTGGGGCCGGAGAGATAGTGCAAGGGTTAAGGTACTTATCTTGTCTGCAGCCAACCTGAGTTCAATCCCCAGTATCACATAGGGTCCCCCAAGCACTGCCAGGAGTGATCTTTGAGCACAGAGATAGCAGTCGGCTCTGATCACAGCTGAGTGTCGCTCCAAACCAAAAAAACAAACAGGAATACAACAACAACAACAACAAAATTAAGGATATGTTTCTGAGAGATTAGTCTAGGGCACCAGAAAATCTCTGCCTGCCTACCTGCCTTCCCTGTTCAGTGAAAGTGCTTCAACTTTCTTTTTCACAATAGATAGACTCCAGGGAGAAAACCTTAAGGCTTTGTACCGTCTCTGGACGTAAGAGCCCAAAGGCTGCCTTAGAATCGGCTACTGTTGCACTTGGGAGATGGGACTTCCACGGAAAGAGGTTCCCTGGGTGATTCAAGTAGGTGGGGAGGAGGAGAGAGACAGCAGGGGAGTCTCCTGCTTTCTT